CACTGACTTCAGAGGTGTTTGTTGGGCTCATTGAATCAGTTAGATTAACCAGCACCGTGAGCAATGGCGGTGGCAGGGAGAAAGGTGAGGAGGCCTTGGAACTGTGAGGAAGGAAAGGGGATGGCTGAGGTTCAGTGATGGCTGTCAGGAGAGGTGCTTGGATTCTGGACGTCCTTGAGCACAGAGGCAGGGATGACTTATGGGTGAGACAGGAGCAGTGAGGAGGTGCCCAAGAGGGTGTCGTGCCAAGCCTTTTGGCTCAAGTATTGTGAAAGACAAAACTGGCACCCCGGGCTTAAAAAGAAAGCTTGGTGGAATAAGGAATAAACAGGTGTTAGATGATGGGATGATGAGCTTGTGGCGCTGGAAAGACTCATTGAATACGTGTGTCTGTGTGTGTGTGTGTGTGTGTGTGTGTGTGTGTGTGTGTGGTGTGTGTGGCGCATATGTGTATGTGTGTGTGTGCATGTTTGCGTCTCTGTGCGTATGAAGTTCATGAGAAGTGTGAAGACTTTGAAGTCCAAGTATGGAGGTGGGATTTAGCCTCATGGAAGGATACAATCATGCCCAGAGTGAATGTACCATTAAAAAATAATAGTAATAAAATAAAAAGACAAAAATGGAACTTAGTGCTGTTCCTTAGAACAAACCAATGATATTGTTAATATTGGTTCATTTTATTATTTCTTCAATTTTATTTTTTATTTTTAGTTTCTGGAACAAATTATTGTCATGCACCCTAGTTAGAGTCAAACTTATGACTCTATGGCCCTGCCTCAGCCTGCAAGCATGTGCCAACATATTTGTGCCCATTGTCATAGCTAGTGTTTTTCAGCACTGCCTGCCAGGGCTAGGCACTTCACATTCCTTGTTAAACTCTGGACTTTCCCAGTTCTGCACATAGTAAAACTGAAGTCAGAGGAATTGTCCTTTCTCCTCAAGTCATACAGCTAGCGAGCGGCAAAGCTGGAGGGCAATCCTGGGGGTTTTGACCCTATCAGAAGTGGAAGGCCTAGGCCCTCAGACACTGTGACAGATTGGGCTAACCTGTTCCCCAAGCAGCACTGCTTCTGCCGATGGAGCACTTCTGCTGCTGTGCAGAGGCCTCTCAGAAGCTCAGGATCACATGGGAACACAGTTTCCAGGTATTAAGCACCTAACCAGTTGCCAAATTGATCTCATCCCTCCCTCTAACACTGAGGAACTGTCTTATTCAACAGCCAGGATTCTATTTCTCCTTTGTTAACGTGTATCTGATATTCGGCACAGGACAGTAGCTCTCTTCTATGTTAGTAGGCTGCCTGGCTTAAAGGTCACTGTAGCTTAAGGAGATTGTTTTAGTGTGGCAGAGCACAGTGTGGGGCCGTATCTTTGTGGCAGAAATCTTTGGCAGAGATTGAAAACTAAGTTTACTTTTTGGAAGATACCCAAGACAGACAACTATCCAATTATATCTGTGACCCATTGAATTGTGTGTGTGGGGGGGGGGATTAATTAACAACTAAGAACGTGAACTTGAAAGGTAACCCTTGTCTGTCCACTCTGAAGGCTATGCTCAGAGCCAGCGTCTCAAGCAGCGTGGTTGTCTCTTCTCCTGAAAGAGCAGCAGTTTGTTGGGTCTGTGCCTAATTGGGCAACACACAGAGTGTGGCTTTGGCTTTCTACCACTGGCCTTCAGAGATGCGGCAGAACTGCGGGCTGAGCCTTCTAAAGAGCTATCCAGATAAACAGGCTGACAGTTCTCAGTTATAAATAAACTGCCATCAGCGGTCTAAAAGTGGTAAAAGGATAGCAATGTACCAAAATGCAAAGGGACACACACCTCAGAAGGCCCAGCTAGCCAAGACCGGTTACATAATCTGTAACTTCACATATTTTTTTAAGTTAATAGGGTGTAATGTATGAAAAACTTCAGTCTACAGTCAGATGGATCTGAGTCCAAATCCTACTTCAGATGCTCTTTCTGAGGATTTGGGGCAAGATAATTAAATCCTTACAGCTCCATTATCCACACTTATAAAGTGGTTCCCAGTTCACAAGGCTTCTATAAGGATTGAAATAGAACATGGAATCAAGATAGGAGCTGGGATGCCATGGTACCTGATAATAATATTGATGGTAACAAGCATGGAGGTGATGCTAGTGATGCTGCTGCATCTGGGGACCCATGCTGAGCCCAGAACTCTGGGAGACATAAACTAGAAGTCTGAGAGAAAGAGTTGCTGTCTTACAGAAGAAAGTTTGGCAAGCAGAAACTAAAGTGTTTGCATAACAACTCAACTGTTGTTATATTAACAATGATAGTGTTTATTTTTCAGTGTTTGCCATGTGCCAGGAATAGTCACAATAGTTTATATGTATTTCATTTAATCCTCACAATATTTCTTTGAAGAAAAGAGTAGAATTAGCTCTGTGTCAGATTAGAAACTTGAGGCTCAGAAAATTTTAAGCATCCCATGCGAGGTCATCCGGCTAGAAAAACAAATGCAGGGATCGGTACCCAAAACCCTCCCACTGGGAACCTATTCTCATCCTCATCTGCTCGATTCACTGGGCTCCCCGCAAGAGGGACAGTGAGCCACTATTCCAATAGAGAGCCTGTCAGGGCGTTTTGAAATGAGTGGCTGCATCCGCCTGAGGCGTGCAGTTCTCGTAACAAATTCACATCGATCCCTCAGAGCAGATTTGAGGTGTATGTGAGGGCATGAGCCAGACAAGAAAAACAAGCAAATCCGATAGCTGGTTCCTCTTCTCTCATCACCTTTCTACGTTTGCGCTTAGGAGGTTTGACTATAACATCTACACTGCTAGGTAGAGACTCCAGTGAGGGAGCGCTCGCCTAACATTTGTAAGGTTCGTGATTCAGTCGTCAGAACCACAAACCAATCCGGACTCCCTACTTTCTGAACAAGCTGATGATCCAGGAATCCTGGACTGTGTGCCAGCTGTTTGCCGTGGGCTGGGACAGCTGCTGTCCCTAGCTCCGGTGTGAGCTCTTACGTTTTTTTCCTGTTTCCCTAACTCCTCGTTTCTTTTCCTGCAAGGCATCTTGTTTGACTGATAGATACATGAGCATGACCTTCTGCTAAGGCTCACGTACAGGGCATGGGCACAGTTCAGATTGTAATTCGAAAAGCAGAAGATGTTGCCTAGCAAACCCCACAGCGAAGGAAGCAGTACCCAGCCCTCTTATGGGCTGGGCATTCTTCATCCAGGAAGATCACTCTGTACCTGTTTCAACAAGATAATGCTCTTCTCATCATCTCCCTCTGCCTCTACCACCAACCGTGACCTCCACCACCAACCACAGCCTGCTCTCAGCCACAACCTCTGCCATCAACACAGCCGTTATCATCACCATCGGTCGTGGTCTCCACTATCAGCCATGGCTTCTGCCATCAGCTATAGCCTCCTCCATCACCCATGCTGGACTACACACCCAACCACAGCCTCTGCCATCAATAGTCTCCACCCCCAACCACAGCCTTCAACAGCCACCGCTTCCATCATCAAACATGGCCGTCATTAGCAACCCTAACTGCCACCATCAAGCATGATCTCTACATCAGCCATGGGATCCTGCCCAACTGCCTCTTCTCCTTTCTGTCATACTCACTTGCTGTTGATCTTTAGTTCCATCCTTTTTTCTTTCCCTACACTATTCTCACCAGCTTCACTCTTTTGCCATTTTACTGTGGACTTTCTAAAGGTGTCTAGGACACTTAACTGTTGTCCCTGCTCTGAAATGTCTTTCTTTCAACTTCCCACATGCGGTTCCCGTGTTAATGGGGGTTAACCAGCAAAATCACCAGGGGTCATTCCTTAAGCCTCTTGTTGAGAAGGCTAGGGCTGGATGAGTGGGCACAAAGTGGACAGAGGAAAGCTCTTGTCTATGTCCTTTATCACAATTTTTGTGGCATAGTCAAACGAGCCTCAATTCATCCTTGGAACAACTCAGTGAAGTGGGCAGAACAGAAGTAATGCATCCATCTTCAGAAGGGACTTCTGCTCAGAAGTGAAGGGTCTTTTCAAAGCTCAACAGTCAGTGGTCAAGAGAATGTGGGTTCGTAACCAGCCTGATCCAAGATGAATCAGCAAATCTCAGCATTGGTCCAGGACAGCTTTCATGCAAGCCCTAATGCTTTATGTCTTTGTCATGGAATTGTGCTCCAAACTGAAAGCGAATCCTGGGTCCCAAGGACCTTCTCATTAGACTGTCTCTCCTCACTGCTTTGCTTTCCTTTCTTCCACAAAAGCTATTAAATTAACACTATGCTAACCTGGCCACAGGGTAATGTCTGCTGATAAGGACAAAGGAAGGTGACTCAACACTATGATGTCACCTTGTTTTGGTATGTGCTCTGATTTTCAGTGCCCCTTTGCAGCAGTCCTGTGTGGTGAATGTGTACCATTTTGCAGGTGGAAATGAGTCTCTGAACAGTAAAATGGCACACAGCTAGGAAATAGTGAAGCTAAGACCTAAAGTTAGGTCTTAACACTTTGGGTGGAATGTTCTTCTCGCCTCTGCTACCACTAGCTCCTAACTGTCTTAAACATAGCAAATGTTCAGTAAAAGCTTGATAGATATAAATTAGTACCATGCCCCATTTCTGAATGACTAAAAGCATCAATCAGCATTTCTCCATCGCAGTCAGAAACCAGGCTCCTTGGGAGTTGCTCAGTAAAATCCAGTGATGCCTGGGATTAATCACCATTATTTTCACCTAAGGCAACACAGGAAGGTAGAGAGAAAACAAACACCACTGATGAGGCCAATAACTGCAAAGCTTTTATTCTTAGACTTGTTGACATAGTTCTTTGCCTCAGGAAAATCTGTTAGGAGGAAAATGCTTTTCCCCATTGACTTCAAACTAAATTCCAAGCCGGAAGTCCTGAATTCAACAGCAGATAGCAAACTGTACAGTCTTCTTTGGTCCATTTTCTCCAGGTGAGATTACAATTCTACCAACGAGTTCCCTTGCAGTTTTTCTTCTGTTTTGTAATTTGTTGTATCATGAGGGTATAATCCACGGGAAGAGGTCTGATAGGAAAACTTTGGCCTGTCATGGGTTAATATCAACATAGAAAGAGGTATGAGTGTGGCCAAGGCAAACCTAGTCTGAACCAGCCCTGGACTGCCAGGCTGCCCACATCTCTTACCTGGAGCAGTCTAAGACCAGCTGCCTACTACTGTTCTAATCTGCTTCATCTTCTTCGAACAGGGCCAAGTCAGAGTTCAGGCTTGCTCTGGAAAGGGCCAGGTGGATGCTGGCAAGGAACAGAGGGCTGTGATGGTCACTGGGTTCCTCTCCATTCTTGGTCTTTATGGCCTTTCCTTGGTTCAACCATGTTTTCACCCCTTCTAGGATTCATAGGCACCTGCACATCATCAGAAATGCTGGTAGGAGTAAGAGACAGAAAAGAATGGACCCCAAACCTCAGGATACGGGACTTAGGAGAAAGAATTTTCCACTGTGTGTGTGGGGTGTGGCTGTGTGTGTGTGTGTGTGGTGTATGTACATATGTATATAATTTTATGCCCTGGCCCCCAGTGTGTCTGTCTGGGGGGGTCTCGCTCTCTGGCGCGCGCGCGCTCGCTGGGGCTCGCTCGCTCCCCCCCCGCT